AAGATTTCTTTTAACTCTTCATTTTATAACGATAAACTTACGGTTTGTTCCGTTTAACTACCACCCCTATAATATTTTATTGAAATGTAAGAGTATTATAATAATACGTATTTTTTTTGTATTTTATGAAGAAAAATCTAATCTCTTTCTTTTTCTTTCGTTTTGTTAATGATTAGTACTGTAATTTGCACGTGTCGCTAAAGAAGTCTTCTTCCTTCTTTCTTCTTCTTCTTCTTCTTCTTCTTCTAATGAAGATTTCTTTTAACTCTTCATTTTATAATGATAAACTTACGGTTTGTTCTGTTTAACTAGCATCCCTATAATATTTTATTTAACTGTAAAAGAATTATAATAATACGTATTTTTTGTATTTCACGAAGGAAAATATAATTTTTCTCTCTCTCTCTCTTTTATTTTGTAAATGAATAATATTGTAATTCGCACGTGTCACCAAACTCACGTATATTCGTTAGTAGACAACATTCGAAATGACGTGGTATGTATATATATGTATATATATATATATGTATTTAGTAGGTTGGGAGGAAAATTCCGCAGAGAATCTAGACTCGTAATAAAATATTGTAACAAGAGAACCGAGCCGAGCGTCAAGCTAGGTCCGGTGAATTACGGAAATGAATGTAGTGCCAGCTGGAAAGGAGAAAGAGAGAGAGAGAGAGAGAGAAACAGAGAGAAACAGAGAAAACGAGTCGTTTATGAAACAAATCTCAATTAGCCCGACCGCACACGTGGCGCGAGCTAATCGTACGGCCGATTTACGCTGCGGTAAAACTCTTTGTTGAAAGTGTCGAAGTACTATTACCAACTATTCTCATCCCTACACCACCCTCCACCCACCCCTCGTATTTTCATCCCTCTCTAAACGTGAAAAGCTTTAACGTCGTCTGTCGTCGACAGCTGGAAAATTTTACTCAACGAAAACGTGCTTCTGCTTCTGCTGCTGTTGCTGTTGCTGTTACTGTTGCTGTTGCTGCGTATTGTATGCTTATATATATATATATATATATATCTCTTTCTCTCTCGCATCTTTTTATATTTTTCTACTCTTTCTACGTAGACTATAAATCTCACTCTTTTGTACATACATATATATATATATATATATATTTCTTCTCTCAAGAGGTGGAACGTTTGCGAACAATTCCTCGAAGCTTTTTTGTTCCGCGCTTATCCATGTTTTCTCAATCGAGAATAATAAATTTAAATCGCACGGCACGATTTTCACAAATTATTATCACATTAAATATACATTTTTTTTTCTCGTGTGAATACGTTAAGAAGAAGAAGAAGAAAAAATTTTTACAGTAATACTATTTTAATTTTAATTATTTAAATTTTACAGTAATACTTCTACAAATGTTAGAAAATATTTGTACGATGACAGAGTTTTGAATACTTTCATAAATCTCTGACTTTTTATACGAGATACGAATGTTACACCTTGTCAACTAGGTAAAACAAAAAGTTCTGGCAAATAAAAAGAGAAAAGAAATTGAAATAAAACAAAAAAAAAAAAGAAAAAAATTCGGCACTCGTTGTTGTGTTACGAGGACACTTTTTTTTATTTCTCTCTCTATCGAAAAGTGCGACCACTCGAATTTTCAATCACGAGTACGAAATAAATCGAATGGAACGATGCCGATCGAAAAAAACAGTTTTTGGTTAACGTTAACGCTCTATTCTTCCTTTCTATTTGTATATATTTGTGTGTGTGTGTGTGTGGTGTATTTCTCTTTCTCGCTCTCTCTCTCTCTCTCTCTCTATCTCTTTCTATAACTATCTCTTTCTTTCTCTCTCTTGTTTTAGGTATAGTACTCAGGCAAAAATGGTGGATACGGGAACGGGGACCCTTTATATCATCGGCTCGTTCAAAAGAATGACGACGGATCCCGATTTTAAGGTAAATCAATTATGAAAATGTAATAAAATCCATACAAATGATTTTATAATTATCTTCAAATATTAATTGATCATACGATGAACTTTATAATATAATCCAAATATATATATATATTATAACGGATCCAAATAATCTGGTATTGCGATGAATTTTTAAATTGAATTCGTAAAAGCGAGAATACGAAAAAAAAAATGTTCTTGATTTTATATTTGAAAATGAAGAAGAAAAAATTAGAGATACTACGGTTTAAAAAAGTTGATAGAAAAGGTGAAAGAGAGAGAGAGAGAGAGAGAGAGAGAGAGATTTTGAGAACATTATCGGAACGTTACAGACTCGTTGGATTATCTCCAGATTTTGTCGAGTGACCTTTGTCCTTTCGTAATTTCTTTGTCGAGAGTCCCCCATAACTCATTCAACGTTCCATGAATTATTTTTTCGCGAGAACACTACCCCAAACGTAACAAAAGGAGATGGTTCGTGAAAATTTCAATGTTAGTCGAGCAACCCTTTTTCCACCCCTATCTTTCTTCATTCCTTTTTCTCTCATTCATTATCCCTCTCTCTCTCTCTCTTTCTCTCTCTCTCTTTTCCTATCTAGGTCTTTAGTCTTTCACTCTATTCAATTTTCCCAAGTTACCATGAACTTTCCAATACATTGAAATTTGTTTCTTTTCAAGCAACTGGTTCTAAAAAGAATCAACAATTAATCTATTTTTCTTTCAATGATAGAAAGGAAAGAAAGAAAGAAAGAAAGAAAGAAAGGGAACGGGGGGGGGTGAAATCGATTAACCGAGTTTCATGAATAATGACGACCAATGAAATTATAATTTAGCGAAACGATAATTGTGTGTTGTTAACGGAAATGAAAGTACTCAACGAGCAAATAGGAACAACAGCTTTTGTTTTATAAGAGTCATCGAACGAAGAAAGGTGGTGGTTTGTTACTTGGGTAATACGTTTTACGGTTTTATCAATTGGAAATTTCCTTTACTTTCGTATAATACATATATTAACGTTTAAATAAAAAGTAAATGGAGTAAAATAGCTAGACTACATTAGACTAGAGAGAGAAAGAGAGAGAAAGTAAGAAAGTTTCCTTTAGTTGGTCGTTAATATAACACCATAACGAAGTATCAAAGGAAATGTTTCAAATAGCATGAGAAATGTTTTACTCGGTGCAAACGAAAAATGTGAAATATCGCGTGAAAAACCTTTTCCCGAAGGAAGAAGGATCCTTTGTAGCTCATTCGAAAGCAGAGAGAGAGAGAGAAAGAGAGAGAGAGAGAGAGAGAAGGAATACATAAACGTTTCGATAAAATCTCCGATATGAAATATTTTCACGTGAATTATTCTTATACTTTTTTTTTTTTTCGTTCTTTCTTTCATTCCTCGACAACGAATGACAATTGTTGCAAAAAAAAAAAAATATCCCGACCTTGTATTTTATCTTTATTTTATAATATAAATCATTTTTTTCTTTATATTATTATTATTTAATAAAAATTATTCATTTCACTAAACACTCAAATTGAGGACGTACGTTTGATGAATAAAAATTGTACGACGTTTGTAACGATAGCATAATGAAATAGCAAATAAAATATGCAAATCAAATTGCAATTAAAGTAGCAACGTTTGAAAGGGGTAGTTCGTGTCATTCAGGAAAAAAAGTAAAAGTTTCTTTTTAATACCTAAAGGAATTTCATTGGAGGGAAATTAGAAATTTCGGATTTGCCTCTCTCTCTTTCTCTCTCTCTCTCTCTCTCTCTATATATATATATATATTGCAACATTCACTTTGAATATCACGCTACGGTTATTTCGTAAAATTGCACGAATTCTAATACTTCGTGTAATCAAAGCCACGTTCGCGCTTGTAGAGAGGCAACGTTGAAACGTTTCTAACGCTTCCAGCAAAAGCAGCTGCGTTAAATCGAGGATTTCTTGGTTAAAGTATCCTCTCCTACACGTAATAAAAAGGAAATACATAGAGTTTGCACATAGTAGTATGGAGGAGTACTTCTCTTTTGTGTTCTTCAACAAAATCCTCTTTTATCGCTATATCTCTCTCTGACTCTCTCACTCTCACTTCTTACTCACACACTCTTTCATTTTGTTGCCACCCATAAAGGTGTGAATTTCTACGAGATATTCTTTAAGATTTTTTTTTCTTTCTTTCTTTTTTTCTCCAAGATAGAAAGAAAGAAAGAAAGGAAGGAAACAAAATCGATACACTGGGAAGTCATAGTTATTTGAAAAAATATATGTACATATATATGTATTGAAAAAGTCTCGTTAAGAAGAATCTTCAATGGAAGCCATAGACGTTCTTAGAAGGAACATGCATTCGTCCTGAAATATGTAGTTTTTACACAGGTATAGCATTTGGATACATATTTGAAGAATTCACGAATACCTGTTCCTAAAGAAACCTTTGCATCATAGAATAGACGAGTTTTTTTTTTTTTGTGGTATCGTCAAATTTTCTCCCCGTTTATCTATCCATTCTTTTTTTAACGATACAATACAGGTTCTTCTTATACAATACACTCGTTATTATATTTTCACCAACTTTAATATTTCTTATATCGTTTTATCGTATTGCAAAATATAAAAAGAAAAAAAGAGATAGAGATCAATTCAAACAAGTTTAATTGAAATATTAATGATAGTAGAATTGATCATTCGAAATATTAATATTTTCATAAAGTTTGCAAAGTAATCAAAGAATAATTAATTATTCTATCAATTAATACAAGTATTATAAATGTTTTCATGAATTATTTCTCAATTATGTAAATCGATTAATGAAGTAATTAAAAAGAAAGAATAAGATAATTGCTTTTTTACTTGATATTGATAATGTTACATTTACGTGTAATTTTCGATCAATTCAATGGATTTTTTTGACTGAAAACTTTTAAATTGACACAACGAACTAATTCATTCGAGATAGATACAATAATAGAATTGTCTAATTCTATTTTATCATCCAATATATTCGCAAACGAGCAAAGTGTGATCTCGTGGGAAGGTCTACAGTGAGTAAGAGAATAATTCCAAGTGTTTCTTAGGTTCGTTGTCGTCATTCTCATCGTAGTAGGTAATAATAGTGGTGGTGGTGATAGTTTCACGAACAAGTAGTAGTAGTAGTAGTAGTAGTAGTAGTATTATAGAAGGTACTATGTTACGCGTACACGCGTTTCTTCTCGTTAGTAATCTAGTTTGAAAACGAAGTTCACGCTTCTCTAATGGCTCACACGAGAGCAAGTCGATTATGCTTGCTGACAATTTTCACGGCACTTTCATCTTGTTAAGTTTACGTTGTATCGTTCGACTACGAACGATAATGTTTAATAAATTTACTTTGTTCGCGTAATTCGATTGGCATCATCGTCAAATTTCGAAAGAAGAAAATTCATCTAAAATAACACACACAAAAATGTGATCAATTAATTTCATAAATAATCTCAAATTTTGATTAACGAAATAATGAGAAGAAATTAGGGTGGTGTCTGTTTACTGAAAGTTCATCGTAGTTTATAGAGTATTAACGAATTATTTGAATTATGTCTGAACTCGACAGAAGAGGGAAGGTAAAGAGAAAAAGGGGAAGGAAAAGGGAAGGAAAAAAAAACTAGAAATAAAATATATGCGAAAAAGTGAAAACGCGTATACAGTGGGGTTCTAACTTGTCAGTTATGCATTGTTCGGAGTTTTCGGCCGAAAGAGGTCGGCCCGAGGCCAAAGTAGCACGATTATACCAAAGTGCTATGTTATATAGAAATATATATATATACACACGCGTATATATAAAGGTACTTTAAAGGCACGTTATTAAAAGCTTTCTTCCGTATGCCACGTAACACGCGTCCTTTCGCGTTGATGCGATTGTTAAAAAAAAAAAAAAAAAAAAAGACATAAAAAAAAAACAGGAAAAGGAAAAAGCAAAAAGAAAAATTATATAACAAAGTAGGTCAAATTTCGTGAAAACCACAGGAGAGAAAGAGAGAGAGAAAAAAACACGGGGTAAGTCCATCCCAGTGTCGGTCATTAAATATTTCCGCGCCGTGTTTAACCCAGTTTTTTTGAAATTCGAGGTCAACGCGAGAACATGGGTGAAAGATTTAACGAACATAATTATTAAGATGGATCGTTCGCGACTCACGCGTTGTCCTTCTTCAATAATTCTTTTTATCCTTTCCTTTCCTTTCATTTTTATCCTTTTATTCCATGCTCAACGATTCGAGACAACGTCAGTGAAAATGTTAACCTCTTCAGACCCTCTGCACATTGTAATGTACATAATACTTTTCTGTACATTTATTTTAATACAAATATTTATCAGAATTTTTTTGTGTTGTTCCAAATTTTGATGATCATAGAAAAGTTATAAATAAATAAATAAAAAGTATATTTTATTACTTTCATTCACATGAATATTAATTTCAGATAATTTTTTCTTAAACGAAAACAAATTCGGGTCTAAAAAGGGGATTAACAATAAAAATGTTTATCGAATTAATAAATTTTCAATGATTGATTAAAAATACGTATAAATTGTTTTTATTTCTTATACTTCGATTATTTTCATAAATCCCATAATTTTCGTATGATCGTGAGTGTAACACTCAACACCTTAAACTATAAATCTACCAGAAGAATCGTTCAAAGGTGACAGAACTATCTTCTTTCTAAGGTTGTCCCGTGGAAGGTTACAATCTAACTGACATCAGCACGATTTATCTCTCTGTTCGCAGTTGTACCTGACGTCGAACGTGTCATCGAGCGACTTTAACATGGGGTACAGCATGACGGGTACGTTGGAACGGGGCTGCAAGAAAACCAACTCCTTCCAGATGACCCATTTTGCAGTGATCCGTCGACGGGACTACGAAAAGGCCTACGAGGATCCAAATCCCACCTAGTGTCCGTCCACACCCACACTATCGGAGTGTGGGGATTGCGAACACTACACGTAGGAGTTGTTTAATCAACTAACATCAATGCTTACAGAATGAACCCTATAACGTTTACGTAATAATAATATTCCAACGAAATGAGCTTTTTCAATTTAATAGTAATTATAAAGGATCATTTAATTATTATGAAAATGTGTTTCAATCAAAACTTTATTGCTACATCAATGGTATTTAATTATTGAAACTACGTGAGATTCATTTTTCGAACGTTATATGGTTCAGCTTGCATAATTATTACATGTAAGTGTGTATAGATATACATATATATGTGTATATATATATATAGGGTGTCCTTGGAAGTAAAAGAGTACATGGGAAACAAAGAATCCTCGAAATTTCATCGAAAACGTATCTCAAAGATTTTAAACTTGTTCTTCTCATGACTCAAATCATTTTTCTTCCTTATCAAAGTACGAGTACAATTTTGAGGATCAATCTTTTAAAGAATAAAAGATGACAAAACCAATGACACTCTAAGAGCAAAAGAAAGCCAAACGTCCAATCGGTAGTCTTTAATTTTTAGTAAATCGATGAATTAGCTTCTAACGGCGACTAACGATACCTAAGCGAAGTATACAAAGCGACAGTGATCGAGCAAACTTATACCAAAGTATTAGCAAGTAAGAATTGTAATCTTGCGAAACGATAATCGCATTTAAAGGTTACCTAAACAAAAACAAAAGAAAAAAAATAAGAAAAAATTCTCATTTTTCAATCGGGATACATTGCTAGTCGTTCCGAGTCAAGCTCGATAGAAACAAACAAACAAACAAAATCGTTTCTTGCGATCAATCGGATGATCCAACAACGAATAATACGAAATATTACTACGATTGGAAATAAGTGATATGTAAGATTAACAAATTGCAATATATAAATATATATATAAATATATAATATATAAATAGGCTTCAATGCCAAAAATTTGTGCCAATGAATCGAGCTACTACTACTATTACTATTATTATTACTACTACTGAGAACTGGCTGGCACTGTATCCCCCACCCCCATTGATAAAATCTTCATGATGCAAAACAGCCAAAAAAAAAAAAATATATATATATATATATAATATGAAATAACAAATAAAGCTTAACTACGATATGATGAAAGCTTCCCCGAACTTGGGTGGAAAAAAAAAGTAACGTTAATAAAAAATAAAAAATTATAGCGAGAGCTATAGGTATATATATATATATGTAAAGGTATAACAAACAAACAAAAAAAGGATGAAAAAATGGAAAAAATAAAGCATGCTTCGCGTAGTAAGAAAAAGAAAAAATGCAAAAATGAACGAAACGAGCAAAGCGCACATGCCGTAATCGCTCATTATTATTGGTGGAAGGGGTGAGTTGTTGAGGGATGAGGGAGGCGGGGTCGTATGTAAATTTGCGCAACGTTTTACACAACCAATTTTATTTTTGCTAATGATTAGGAAAAGTTGCGTTATACGTTGCGTGATTTGTTCGTTCACATTAAATATGATCGATCGATTAAAGATAATCGTTATACAGGGAAAGAAATAATTTCTAATCTGAACAACGATTTGTCGATGTATTTTGATCGATCGATCGATCGATCGATCAAATCGAACATGTCATCGAAATCCTATTACTCTAATAAGCAGTTAACGAAGGAGAACCCGTTCGAATCGATTTTCCTCGCCTTCGACAGTCGTCCTCGGATCATAAAAAAAAAAAAAACTTTCTGCTTCGATCGAGAACCTAAATGCACCACGCGTATATACGACGTAAAATATATGCCGATTAGAGGAGAACAAAAAAAAATATACAAAGACGCGAAATTATAGATTTATTCTATTAGGGTGAAAACCCTTGAGAAGTTCGTGCGTTTTTGAAATTTTTTTTTTAAATAACTTCGAAATTTTTTTACAAAAAAAAATATAAATACATTTCATTATGCAATTTATAACACAATAATAACTTCCAAGTAAATTTTACAAAAAAAATAAGTACAATCCATTATGCAATTTATAATACAATTTGTAATTCGATAAACGCACGAACCTATTTTTACTTGCACCCTAATACAATTTCGAATCTTTGAAAGATTAAAAATTGTTGACGAATATCGTCGTGCGTTGGTAAAAAAGGAATCGTCAGCTGATTTCGTTATGAGTATTATTAACCATATAAATGTGCCATATATGGTAGTGGTTCATTTGATTCGATTTTTGTATCGATCATTGTTTAATTACAAATTTACGTGCAATATATTAAAATATCCTTTAATGTTATTTAGTTATCTCGAAATAATTTTAATTATTATTATTATTTTTTTTTTTTTTTGTTAAAAACCCATTTGATGTACAGTAAATTAAAATTACTATATATATATATGCACACACACAATGTACAGTATTTTAATATCGTAAAATTAATCGAATGAACCAGAATATAAGTGTATAACACACGATATACATCGTTCATATCTCTTTGGAGAATTTTCCTTCGTCCGGTCGCGTCTTCTTCTAATCTTCTAGCAAAGTAGACGGTCACGTTCCTGAACTTGTACCGGAACGAGTAAACGCAAAAGAGTACCTAATTAAGCAGAGTAGATTTTTGCGAATCTCTCTCTGCCATATTGCTTACATATATATATATGTATTTCTCTTCTCTCATTTCGTTTATTCTGCCTCAATCTTTCTAGATTTTTTTTTTTTCATTTAGCACTAGAAAAAAAAAAAAAGAGAAAAAAGAAAGAAATAATGAAAGAAAGAAAGGAAATGAGAGTTCGATTCTGTTCTCCACTGCTTGGATTAACAAGGAAAAGAGATAGAAGATGGGTCCGGTAGTGAATAGGAGGTGAATAGAAAGGGTGGGAGATGTTGGTGGATAAGGGGGATTCGAGGGGAGACAAGTCCGTAATCGAATCCAATCGGATTCGGTGTGGCCATTTAGTCGAGTGGAGTTACGTGTTACAGGGTTTAACGGATTTTTTGTAACTCGAGAACGGCCAGAAAGATTCCTCTCGCGAGTACGTTAAAATCAACATTATAGCTAATCTAACGATTCTCTTCTAAACCATGAAACTCTTTCAAAGTAACACACACACACACACACACATACATAGATATATTGAAAAAAAAAGAAAAGTAACGAGAAAGAAAGAGAGAGAGAGAGAGAAATAGTGTCCGTCTCGTGTTTTACAGAAAAATCGGGTACATGTTACATATATATATATATATACAGGGTGTATCAATAATCCTTAGAAATTGAATTCATTTGAAAAAATCATCTAAGAATTTTGGATTCATCCTGTATATAAATAGATATACCTACATATATAGATATAGATATATAAATATACTTTTATTAAGAAACCTCATCGATGTCTGTATAAATTAGTTTAGTAATAGGATAGATATTTAGATATGTAACTAAAGTTTAATGCTTTCTCTAGCCGATTTCTAGTCCTTAGTAGATTTTAGCCGTAAAGTTCGCTTATGTTAGTAATAGACGCGAACTTCTCTATTTAGTTTATTGTTGTTTTCATAGCGTTTGCAACCGTCCGACTCGTTGGCGTAGATTCGACAAATTTCTTCGTGGATTTTCTTCGAATGATAATCTTTGTTAAATCAATACGATTGGAACTTTAATTAAAAAAAAAAAAAAAGATCGATTATGCGAAGTAACGATAAAATTAACAATCTTATAAAATTGTAGATGACAAAAATAAGAAACAAAAATTTATAAATAATATTTAGATTATTTATAATTCTTAAGAGAATTAATTTATTATTTTTTATTTATATTTATTATTATTATTTTTATTATTAATTTATAATTTTTTTTTTATAGAATTTCTAAATATAATTATAGATTTTGTCGAGAATTTCTAGCTTAATTTTCTTCTTGCTTATTTTCTTTTTCTTCAAAGTATTTAAACACGCGTTGAAAAAAAAAACAAAAGTTTCGCAAATTTACGAACCACGTGCATCTGTCTTTTTTTTTTTTATTATAATCTTCGTCGAAATCTAACGAAAAAATGGTCGTTATTCTTATATATATTATTAGTTAGAAATAGTCGGACGCGTAATAAAAAAAACTAAAAAGAATTAGTAAGAAAAAAACACGACAAGTTTATATTCACAATTTAATCATCTATTTCGAATGGATAAATAGTAAAAATCTTGTTCTCACAATTTCTCGAGTAAAAGAAATAAGAAAAAGAAAAAAGTAAAAAAAAAAAAATAAAAAAATAAAAGTAAAACGAAACGTAATTAGAGCCTCCTAGGGTGGTTTATAAGTGAACGTACGTCCGATATCACGGTCCCTCCTGACTACTTAGCCGTAGTTTAGACCCACCGATGCACGCTTTCATAAAGTGAAACAAAAAGATAATGAAAGTCACCTTATCTTCTTTGGCTGCACAAACGGCTGGGTCTCTAGTCTGTTTTTTCGTAGACCCGCTTCTTCTAAACTGTCTCTCGGAATTCTATCACCAAAAAAAAAAAAAAANTAATTGTTATCTTTAAAATCCAGCTGTTGCAACACGGAAATAAATCGGTAATAAGAAAAATTCTATTAGTCCTAAAAAAATCAACAAAAAAAATAAATAAATAAATAATAATAATAAAGAAAATATGATTTGACGAATTATGATCAATCAAATGACTACATATAGATCCGTCCATGGTGTCAGCAGAGAAGAATTACAAAAATTATGAAAAATCAAAAGAAAAGTGTAAAAGTGTGAAAAGAAAACAACAACAACAACAACAAACACTCTATCGTACTATTATACCACACTATACTATAATATACTATATATACTATATTAAATAAGTATATGTATATGAAAGTAATATTTAAATATAAATCATATATGCGTTCGATCGTTAATCGAGAAACGGAACGGACGCCTACGACGGGGCGTACACTGTATAATCACGGGAATTAATTTGAAATCGACGTTTGAATCAGGTTAAGAGGATCAAAATTCAATTCGACGATTTCCGAGGGAAAAGAGGAAGCGGGACGAGTTCTATCCTCGAACGTGTAGAGAGAGATTATATATAGTTATATACATGAATATACTATATACATACACACTACTCTCATATATACATATATATGTATATTTATATATATTACACATACACATGCAGTAGACATACGCACGTACAACAAATACAGAAAGAATAACATACACATACACGATATATACATATATGTAGACGTTTTAGTAGTGGACGTAGTGAAATTCGATGTCGTTGTCTCGTTGAATCAAAGATAAAAAGAAAAAGGAATAGAAATTAAGAAAGAGAGAAAGAGAGAGAGAGAATTGACAAATTCGTCAACGAGTTCGTTCCTCTTGGAAACGAACGTCAATTAAAAAAAAAAAAAAAAAAAAAAAAAAGAAATGAAAAGAATAAAAGGAAAAGGAATTTATTGTCTACGTCCTGATGATCGTCGATCGAGTGTTTGCTCCTGCCAACGTCGTCGTTCGTTAAATTTTTTATTTTTTCTAGGCAGCAAGGATCCTCGATCTTCAATCTCACGGCTTAACCAATCATCTCGTTCTCTTTCTCTATTTTTTTTTTCTTTTTAAATTTGACGTCAATTGAGACACGACGAGTTGACGTTTGTTAGATCATTAGAATACGATAGTCGAGTTTAATCGAACATTTTTTTTATATTATATATAATAAATATATATATACTATAGTATATTTGTTACATGTTTTACATTTATTATATACAATATATATGTATATATGATTTATAGATTATTCGTTAGTTAAAATTTCAAAGATTTTTTTTAATATTTTTTTTTGTTTTATATTTGACATTAAAATTAATTGTTAATGCGAGAGAGTATTTGACGTAATACGATATTAAACAATTTTCTCTCTAGTCAAATTTATATAAATTTATTAATTATTATATATATATATATATATATATCAGGGGAACCGAAAAGTAATCACAATTTTTCTTTTTATTTATTGAACATATTTTAAATGATAATCAACAAAAAAATTGTTTCATCATTTTCTAATATTTTTTGCCTTATTGTTTAATTCCCTTTTTAAAAAATTCTT